TACACTGTAAAAACTATACACTGTAAAATACTATAGTATTTTATACTGTAAAAACTATAGTACCTCTAGGTTAGGGACTGTCTTTTTCATTTTTGCCCCCTCACACAGTCCGTTACACATTGTAGGTTTAGTGAATGGAAACACTTGTCCTTATTTAGCCATGGCTTCCCCTACCCACACGTCCCACCTCCCCACACAACTCATTTCCTCTTGAGGATCTCAAAGTCATTTATTGTGCCATTCTTTCCTGTACTTTGTGGTGGATTGTCTTGACAGCCATTGCATGGTTGAAAAAGTTGCTGTCTGCTGAACTTCTCTCTTTAGAGTTCAGAATGAGGAACGGATGGACCCACTGGATAAATGACTCATCTTCTTGTCAGACAAGTGTTTGCTTCACAATGAAAATGTACCTATTGTTAACTCATTCCTGGTATTTGGAAACATGTTTCTTATTCTTTGTCCAAATATTAGCTCACATTTGTTTTCTTCTGGATTCTAAATGAATTATTTTGAAATCGGTATAAAATTTGCAGGATTGATTTCCAGGAATATTTTATTATGTTTAAAAATACAACCTGTATCTCAGGTGCCTGTGCTGAAGGGTCTAGAGATGGAGCAGCTGATAAGAAATAAAATAACGCCGAGAAGCCAAAGCAAAGAGAGAGCTGTCTACACTAAAGATAATGGTCATTTGTAGTTGGACAATGTCTTAAACTAACTCCATCATGTATATACACACTTAGAATGTAAAGTATTTCTTTCATTTTGTTTTCTAAAATGCTATAGGCCTAATGGCTTTGAAGCAGCTACAGAAAGTTCCTTTAGGGATGTTCTTAAAAGAAATAGTGTTGACAAGCTAGGTACTAATAGCTACTTATCCTGAAGGGGATGCTTTTTCAGTTACCAATTGCAGGGATCAGTCGCATTTAAGAGATGGAGCCACATCACACTGTGAACACTGGGATTGGGCCCATGTGTAACATAGGTGAAAGACCACTCTATAGGGTGGCATTAAAACTTCAAAACAAGTAGATCTAGGTTCAGACTCCAGCTCTGACATTGCTTGGTGCCAGGACATTGACAGTTAGCTCTTCCAAAAGCCTTTGCTTTCTAACTTATAGAACAAGGATAAGGGTACCCCAGACTTTAAGTCTGGAATAAGGATCCACTGAGATGATAGCATGCATGCCAAGTGCACGTCTCAATATAATTTTTCCAGCTTCAATTCATCGCCAAGGAGAAGTGTTCATTCTTGGTTAAGAAGTAGTGCAAATGTGTGTTCAGCAGGTGGGAGACCTGAGTTTTAGCTCTGCACTGTGTTATCGAAAAGAATATCCCTTTATCTGTCTCATTTTTTTCTATCAGTGATAATAGAGTGTATAAAATCTCATCTGTCTACTTCACAGGGATAGAGGAATAGCTAAGCTAGCAAATAAGGGAAAAAATGTCTTTGAACTGTTTAAATGAAAGCCGCCACAAAAATCAGAGGAAGTTCTAGATAGATTTTAAACTCAGTTTAAACCAGATCTGACCTACATACATTTAAGAGTACAGGTCTCTCTGGTCTCATACTCTGTGATAACCTAAGGGTATGAAAATCTTGCTGACATGACAAGTGTCTGGAGGCATTGCGTGTGAAAACAGGATAAAACACCTTCAGAAAATTACTTACCTGAGCATCTATCAGCTTCCTCTTGATGATCTTCTCCATGAAACAAGCGTTCAGGGCTGTTCTTAGCAGACATACTTCTTGTGACAAAGAATTACAAAAAGTGCCACATAGTGTAACTGTCATATTTCAAAACGCATGCTTCAGGAATTGAAGTAAAAAGAAAAAAAAATCTTTACAAAAATGAAAGTTAAGTTTATGAATACTGGACATGTAAATTTGTGAATACTGGAAATTGAAAGTAGAAGTTAATAAGAGACTCTAAGAGTTTTAAAAATCTGAAGGTCCTTAAGCCCTTTCGAAGGATCATGTTTGAAAGCAGAGAATACCAGAAAGATGTTGACCTGTGTTTTATTGACTATGCAAAGGCATTTGACTGTGTGGATCATAACAAATTATGGATAACATTGGGAAGAATAGGAATTCCAGAAGGCTTAATTGAGCTCATGAGGAATCTGTACTTAGACCAAGAGTCGGTCGTTCGAACAGAACAGGGGGATACCGCCTGGTTTAAAGTCAAGACAGGTGTGTGTCAGGGTTGTATCCTTTCACTATACTTATTCAATCTGTACGCTGAGCAAATAATCGGAGAAGCTGGACTGTATGAAGAAGAACGAGGCATCAGGATTGGAGAAAGACTCATTAACAACCTGCAACATGCAGATGGCATGACCTTGCTTGCTTAAGTCAAGAGGACTTGAAGCACTTACTGATGAATATCAAAGACCACAGCCTTCAGTATGGATTACACCTCAACATAAAGAAAACAAAAATCCTCACAACTGGACCAATAAGCAACATCATGATCAACAGAGAAAAGATTGAAGTTGTCAAGGTTTTCATTTTACTTGGATCCATGATCAACAACCATGGAAACAGCAGTCAAGAAATCAAACGACACATTGCATTGGGCAAATACGCTGCAAAAGACCTCTTTCAAGTGTTAAAAAGCAAAGCTGTCACTTTAAGGACTAAAGTGCGCCTGACCCAAGCCATGGTATTTTCAATCGCCTCACATGCATCTGAAAGCTCGACAATGAATAAGGAAGACCGAAGAAGAACTGATGCCTTTGAATTATGATGTTGGCAGAGAATATTGAATTTACCATGGAGTGCCAGAAGAACGAACAAATCTGTTTTGGAAGAAGTACAGACAGAATGCTCATTAGAAGCAAGGATGGCCAGACTTCGTCTTGCATACTTTGGACATGTTATTAGGAGAGATCAGTCCCTGGAGAGGGACATCATGCTTGGTAAAGTAGAGGATCATGGAAAAAGAAGAAGACCCTCAATGAGATGGATTGACACAGTGGCCACAACAATGGGCTCAAACATAGCAATCATTGTGTGGATGGCCAGGACCGGGCAGTCTTTCATTCTGTTGTACATAGGATCACTATTAGTTGAAACCAGCTCAATGGCACCTAACAACACAACCTCAACAAAGGGCGTTAGAGATAAACTAATCCAGATTCTTCATTTTACAGTTAAGCCATGGCAAGGATAAATAACCTGCCCCAAGTTATAAGCCCAATATGTGGTACCTTAAAGATCATTGTAACTGATAAGTCTTAATTTTTACAAAAGAATACCCAAATTATTGGATTGTACAAGTCTAATTAAATTTTTTTAATAATATTTTATTGTGTTTTCAGTGAAAGTTTACACAGAAAATTAGATTCCTGTTTGACTGTTTCTACCCAAGTTGTTCAGTGACATTAATTACATTTTTCACAATGTGTCAGCATTTTCTTCAATTGCATTCTGTTTGTTCCATTTCTCTGTCCTCTTGTCTTCTCTGCATTTGCTTTAGAGTAATTGTTGACCTTTTGGTCTCATATAGGTAGTTTTTTAATGGAGCCCCGTACTCACAGGTAATATCCCTCATTTTGTGTGTCAAACTGTTATTTCTATAAAAGGTGACCTCAGGGGATAGTTTTGGTTCAAGGTTTCAAGAGTGTCATAGGGTGATAGTCTCAGCTGATCCAGTAAGTCTGGACTCTTTTAAGAATTTGAGTTCTATTTGGCATTTTTCTCCTGTTCTCTTTGGGTCCATCCTTGTGGCCCTGACCAGAACAGTTAGTGGTGGTAGCTGGGCACCATCTAGTTCTTCTGGTCTCAGGGTAGATGAGGCTGTGGCTTGTGTAGGCTGTTAACTCTGTAGACTGGTTTCTTCTGGGAGACTTTTTTCCCTTCTTTTTCTCTTGTTCCTAATGAGTAGGTTAAAAGTATATATTTTTTGCACAGATGAATTATTGATTTTTAAAAGGAACATGAACAAAAAAATTTTCTGAAAGTAAATGTTCAACATATATTTTTGTGACAAGATATTTTGATTTTCTTTTCTCTAAAAGAAAAAAAATGAAATAATAAAACCAATTAGTGAGGCCGAGAGACCCAAAACAAGATTCTAACTGTGTTGAATGAGCGATATCAATCCAAAATTTTTAAAAATCAGCAAAGTTATGTGAAATTTTGAGTTAGGAGCAGAAATAAACTTTTAGCACTTGGTAGTGCAGTGGTTAAGTGCTCAGCTGCTAACCGAAAGGTCGGCGGTTTGAACCCATCAGCCTCTCTGTGGGAGAAAGATGTGGTGGCCTTCTTCCGTAAAGATTTACAGCCTTAGAAGCTCTATGGGGTAGTTCTACTCTGTCCTATAGGGTCACTATGAGTCAGAATCGACTCGGCAGCAATGTTGTTGTTGTTGGTTTTTTTTTTTTTTTTTTAAGGCTCACTAAAACCCTTATTTTCAGATTCTCAAGTCTGTTATATTCAATTATGAAAATGGCATACCATACAAGAAAAACACAAAAATGTTTGGAAATGCCTTGTATCATGATTCAACGAAGTGATCAAGAATGCCAAAATCAGACATCTAAATTGAGGCTTGGTTTGTCAGACAGAGTGACAGGATTCCTAAATTAATACCATCCGTGAAGAAATGTGCAAAAATGAAAATTTTTTTTTTTTTCTAAATAGCAGTAGATGGAGTTGCTTACGCTTCCTTAGTCATTATTTCAAGAAGTTAACCTCACTTCATTCTCAACATGGAATTTCCAGAATTTGAATTCTGGATCCTGAGACAGGAGGTCTGTGCTGCTGCATGCATATCTCAGTTCCCAATTTTAACTTTTCCTTTTGCAGAAAAGATAACGGCACTTGTACTCATCGCAATTTGCAGAAGCACTGTCAAATACTTGATCGAAATAGTTTTGCGGAAAGGGCAGCATTGACATTCAGATGTCCTGTGCAAAGTTAGATGCGAGTGTGTGTGTGTTTTGATATTTTTTATGCATGCATCTAAACATTAAACATATTTTACTTCTTCTAGGGCTGTATAAAAGTAAAAAACTTTAATTTTATAGTACCTGATGGCATGAACTTGGATTTTACCTATGCCACTGTGTCAGCTAATGATAATTACACCTGTGTTGTAACATATCCAGAAAATGGACGGACCTTCCATCTCACCAGGACCCTAACTGTCAGGGTGGTAGGTAAGCATGATTTTTACTAAGTGCACACAACAAAAATGCCATAATAATAATAATGTGTCATAGGGTGATAGCTCTTAATAATAATTTAGCTCTTAATAATAATTTACTGCACACAAGTACGTAAACTCTGTGAGAAAAGAGGCTTATCTTTTTGTTCACTGCACAATCCATAGAGCCTTCAGCAATTCCAAGTACATAGTAAACATTCAGTAATTGGTTGTTGACCAAATGAATATATGAATGAATGAAGTCAAGGCAGTTGAGGGAGTAAAAAGAGAACCAGACATATCTATGTTCAATTTATATCATTGGCATTATTTAGCAGTATGACTTTGATCAAGGTCTCAGGCTCCTTGTCTATACTACGGGACTAAGACTACCTAACTTTCAGGATAGTTGTGAATGTTAAAAATAGTGTACAGATAGTGCTTAATGCGGTTCCAGGCAAGCAGTAATATTATTGTCAAAACGTGTTTTACTTGGATTAAGGAAACTGTATCTTTCTGTGTACTGAGACTGGTATAGCTAATGCTGAAGGTGTTTGCTGGCGACGTTCAGTCATTGCTTTGAACTGAGAGAATGAGAATGGGAAATCAGGGAAGTGGAATGTGCAGTGCCTAGGCAGAGGGAAAGTGCTCCTATGAAACCCAGCAAGCCAGAGAGCTCGTGTCAGGATAGGTGGCATTTAAGGGTGTGCCCTAGATACTACTACGCCCATTCTGTTAAACTGATAGACTGTCAGAGTGAGAATATGCTTTAGATGTTCTGTCATACCCTATCTTTTATTAGTTGGGAATATTGAGGCCCAGAGACAGGAAGTCACCTGTTTAGAGACAGTCTGTGAGTTAGTGGAAGAAGTGATACTAAATCTCAGGTTTCTGACGCTCAGTTCAGAGCTTTTTCTACTAGTCTGACCCATATTCAGCCCAATCACAAAAAGGCTTTATCATAGTGCACATAAAATTCAAACCAAGCAATTTTGTAATCAACTCTTCCTTTGTAACACAAAGTGTACTTTGATAACATGTACAAATTTTGACTTCATGTACTAGAATGGGAGAAATCGTACATTGTTTTCTTATTCCAAGAATGTGTTGGGAACTTTCATATTCTTGTTACACATGATATACTTTGAAAATCAAAAATATTCCTTTGACTTCATGTACTTGAATGGGAGAAACTGTACATTGTTTCCTCATTCACAGAATGTATTGGCAACTTTCCTGTCCTTGTAACACAAAGCATGCTTTTATAACATGTAAAACTCTTTTGATTTCATGTACTTGAGCTGCTCTGTTTACTTCTGGTAGAATTGAGTAATGCTTAGTTGGAGATTAGTTCAGAAGGAAAAAAAAAAAACAACTAAATTTAGAACTTAATGTGAATAGAGTTTTAAAGTTAAATGAATAATCTAACTTTATATTCATTTTGGCAGTTATTTTAACCACATAATCTAATTTTATATATATATATATATATAAGGATATATACACACACACACACATATGTAAAATATATGTTCTAATTGTGCACACACACTCACAAATTTATCAATGTTTGGAAAGTTGGAAACAGGCATGCTTGGTCACCCTAATTTATAGATATAGAAATTGACAGACGCAAATGGGTGCCTCTTACCAAACATTCAAGGGATAGAAGTTCATTCTGTAAAGCTGCAAATTGTTGAGTGCTCAATATATATCACTTGTGGATGCTTTATGTACGTTAGTTGATTTAATCTTCATAATGACCCTGTGAGGTGAGTTTATCCTCATTTTAGAGGTGGGAAAAATGGGCTGTTCAAGGATTAATTAAAACCCAGGGTCATGTGGTTAGTATGTGCCAAATCTGGATTAGAACCCTGATCATTAAATCTTTAAAGTTTACAGTCTCGAGCACTACCTTATAAAGCCCCTTGAGAGTATTTTCTTTCAATTTAGGATGATAGAATGTTATAAAGAGCAGCAAACTCTTGCTTGAAAATTCAACTGATAACTAAACATCAGATATGCTGATACATGCTAGCTTCAGAATTGTGATTTTTGAATATTCCACTCACTTATTCAGTTATTTAATATTTAATACTTATATAACCAGGTTCCTTACTACACAGTATGGGCATGTTGAGGAGAAAAAATATACGTATATATACATACGTGTGTATATATATATACACACACACACACACACACACACAGATATACACACATATATGTATGTGTGTGTATATATATACCCATGCATATGCGTACATATGTATATGTATATAAAACTGTGCCATAGGGTTTCTAAGGAGCGGCTGGTAGATTCAAACTGCCAACCTTTTGGTTAACAGCCAAGCTTGTGTGTGTGTGTATGTGTATATATATATGTGTGTGTGTGTGTGTGTTAATCAATTATATATATATATGTCTTAATCAGTTGTTTCATATATGTATATATTTACATATGAAGCATTTCATTAAGACATGAAAGCAATTAATTGTTATATAGTATGAGAAGTTTAGCTCATGTATGTTTTGGAGAGCAAGAACACTGGTTAAACATTCTATCCTGAAACATGGAGTATACTCAATATCCTATGTTCCTTTGTTTTAAAGGAATGAAGTGCTGCAATGGAGTATGCATTGGCCTATGGGCCCACTCAAGAAGAGTTGACAAACTATGCCAGGAAGTTGGGCAAGACTTCACAGAAGAGCAGATTTTTGAAATGGGTCATGAGGGATAAAAGCTACCTAATTTAACATCATCTCCCTTTGTTCTTTCCTTTCTGTCACAGGCTCGCCAATAGATGCATTGCCCCCCCAGATCCATTCACCCAATGATATTGTTATCTATGAGAAAGAACCAGGTAATTACAGCTGTGCCTATGTCGGCTCTGAATTTCAGTTAGATTCTTTTAGTTACAAGGAATAAAATGTCACTAAAGTTATCACAAAAGGATGGAGGGTTATTATAAAGAAAAACTTGAATTGAAGCTGCAAAGTTGTCAGAAACCAAGGCAGCTCTGGGGATCAGCTACTTCGTGAGCATCTCATGGATTCCGTTTCTTTCTCTGCATCTGTTTCCTTCTCCCTCTGCTCAGGATCCTCTGCTCATTCGTGATTTCTATTTGCTACAAACCTCAGCTTGCACAGGGCTTTAGGTTTGCTATGGACACAGGCACCCTTTCAGTATGCACACAAGGAACCCTTTCAGCTTCTGCTCCACTACGAAGATGGCAGGGGATGAAGTCTGGAGCTAGAAATGGGACTTTAATAGGTTGCAGCTGATAGAACTAGCACACCTGATTCAGAACTCGGTCGAATCTTTTCCAGGGCTTTCAGGGTTTACTTTTAGTTGTCATAAGTTTTCATTCTAGACACAAATCACTTGTAACTCACCAAGTAAGGCATGCTTTGTGATTCTGACTCAAAGCTTCCCACAGTTAAGTTGAAAACCATAGAAAAATTTAATATTTTCTGTATTGGGTCCTTTACAATTAATGCACTCCAATCCCAATTAGGGGTATAAAAGAGTGTTTGTTTAAAATGTACTAAAGATAATAGAGGCAGTGATCCTAATAGGCAGAGAACAACAACACCGGAATAACAATAATAATAATAAGAGGTTCACAAACAGTGATCTGCCCTGAAAAAAAACAGAGAATACACTAAGCTTTTGCCAACCCCAAATGGACAGAATTTCCTAGAATTAGCAGTGGTTTTGTATAGTACTGGAGCCCTGGTGGCACAGTGGTTAAAGCACTTGCTTGCTAACCTAAAGGTCAGCAGTTCAAACCTACCAGCCACTCCACAGGAGAAAGATGTGGCTGTCTGCTTCTGTAAAGATGTACAGCCTTGGAAACCCTATGGGGCAGTTCTACTCTGTCCTATAGGGTCTCTATGAGTCGGAATCGATTCAATGGCAATGGGTTTGGTTGTTTTGGTTTTGCTTTTGTATAGCACTGTAAACACTCCCTGCTGCCAGGGCAAACTCTTACTAATCACCTGAATATATTTCATCTACTCATACTATTATGGTTACAAAAATATTCCCAAATCCATGCCAACTTGTACTTTTTCTTTGGTGACAGGCCCATATGGAAAATTGGAGGGGACACCCTTCAGCCAAAGATTAGACAGGTCCATTAAACAAAATGAGACTAAATGGGCACACCAGCCCAGGGGCAAGGACGAGAAGGCAGGAGGGGACAGGAAAGCTGGTAACGGGAACCCAAGGTCGAGAAGGGGAGAGTGCTGACGTGTCGTGGGATTGACAACCAGTGTCACAAAACAATATGTGTATTAGGTTCTCTTAATGAGAAACTAATTTCCTCTGTAAACCTTCATCTAAAGTACAATAAAAACATTTTTAAAAATTAAAAATAAAGAAAATTGAAGGAGAAAGACATGAGAAGTATGCATTGGGAGGGAGGATAGACTCTGAGCGTGTCTGACCATATAATTTAGCTTCTCAACCTGGATACTTGTTGAAAGCAAAAACAGGCAACATTAATAATTAGTTAGGAGAGCAGGGATAAACCAGATTCTCCTGAGCAAAGCATGATATCAGGTCAGTCTAGGTCAAATCCTCGTCTGGCACTTATTAACAAATTGACCTAGGAATGCCATTAAAAATCTTTAAGATTCAGTTTTCTCATCTGTCAAACATGGCTTTTAAAAATTCCTCTCAGTGCCTTGTTAAGAGTAAACAAGATCTTTAACAGGTATAAATATTTAGCACAGTGACTTGTACAAAATTCTCAATGAATGTACTGTTATTGTTCTTGTTGTTGCTGCTGCTGCTGTTATTATTATTAATTATTATTTTCTGCCTAGGGAATTTCCTAGCCTAATGTTCCATCTCAGAAGGATAGCGTAGAATTTTCTACTTCTAAATTATCTTTAAATTTATTGAATGACCCAATCGCTTTAGCATTTCAAGACAAGATCTGTTCTGCCAGTCCTTTCAGTGACGGCATTGCCACATCTACCCAGAGCCAAGGACCAAAGTTCTGGAGAACCTTTCTTTAGTCACCCTTTGTTGGTAAAACCAAACCCGTTGCCATCAAGTAAATTCCGAATCATAGCGAACCTATAGGACATAGTAGAACTGCCCCATAAGGTTTCCAAGGAGCATCTGGTGGATTCGAACCGTGACTTTTTGGTTAGCAGCCATAGCTCACCAAAGCTCTTAACCACCGTGCCACCAGGGCCCCCTTTGTTGGCAAAGGAAATAAAGAAGGAGAAGAGTAGACCAAGGAGGTTCAGGGCTAAAAAAAGACATTGTCAGAGCTATTTTGAACAGATACTATCATTTTAGAACAGATATAAAAACGCAAAAAACCAAATCCGTTGCCATCGAGTCAATTCCAATTCATAGTGGCCCTATAGGACAGAGCAGAAATGCCCATAGGGTTTCCAAGGAGCAGCTGGTAGATTTGAACTGCATACCTTTTGGTTAGCAGCCAAACTCTTAACCACTGGCACCATCAAGGCTCCAGAACGTAGATTGTATTAAAAGATGGCTCCACTTATATGAAATATCTAGTATAGACAAGTGTATAGAAACTAAAGCTTACTAGTGATTACCAGGGACAGGTAGGAGAGAGGGGAAAGGGGGGACTCACTGCTTAGGGGACACTGAGTTTCTGTTAAGGATGGTGGGAAAATGCTGAAACGTATAATGGTTAACTAAGGCACTCAGCTGCTAACCAAAAGGTCAGCGATTCGAACACCCCCTGCCACTCTGTGGCAGAAAGATATGGCAATCTGGTTCTGCAAAGATTTCCGGCTTGGAAACCCTATCGGGCAGTTCTACTCTGTCGTATAGGGTCACTGTGATTTGGAATCAATTCACCGCCAATGGGTTTTTTTGTTTGTTTATTGTTTGTTTTATAATGGTTGACAACAAAATAAACATAATTAATGTCACTGAATGTTCATGTAAAGAATAATGAAATGGAAAACGTTTGTTACATATAGATTTACCACAATTTAAATAATAAAAAAGGTGGTCATTCTGGTAATTTTATAAAAATTGGTGGTTTTTTTCTTTGCTTTGTTTATTTGGAATGAAGTATGGTGCATTAATTTATGGTAGTCTATTTGAGAATTATTCATAAGTAGGGTTTTGCATACACAGAACTTTTATAGCTTCTAATCAGGCACAGAGTAGAACCAAAATAGCCATGTGAAGGTTACAAATTAATGGATTAACATCATCTGCTCACTTGTTTTTTTAGGAGAGGAGCTTGTCCTCCCCTGTAAAGTCTATTTTACTTTCCTGATGGACTCTCGCAATGAGATTTGGTGGACCATTGATGGAAAAAAGGCTGACGACACCAATATGGACGTAACGGTCAACGAAAGGTATCATGGGGCATGGATGGGAGTTGCTAAACTTTGTCCCTCAACAGAATGCCCTTGGATGTATATTGGTCAATGAAAACAAAAGTTCTAATTTTTGCCTATCATTAACAGATATCAGCAAAATGCTTCAAGTCTTTAGTGGCAGCATCCCACAACAGGATTATTGGACTTATAATCTAAGGGCCAGATGTAGCCTGATGAGTGTTGAAGAGTTGAGTTAGAATCTGTTTAGGCTGGGCAACTTTATCCAAGTCTGTGTAGAGGTGAAAGTTCCCCACTGTCTGAAGTCCAGCAGGGTTTACCCCTTTATGATACCCACTTGGAAGGAGATGAAATGCAAGTCCTGTATGAATGAAAAGGTCACAGTTAGAGGGCTGTGAACACATGAACATCTGTCAATGTGGCTGTCTTCACTTTCTCAGTTTTGGAGTTTGGGCCTATGTGTTTCTGCCTCAGAGGATTCTGTTAGTTTCTTGTTTGGGGTGAGCATATGTTTTTGATCTGTCTCCTCTTCTCTCTGAATTCATGTAGCATGTATGCCACATTTAAAATTAATTGTTTGTTAATATTGATTAAATACATTTATGCTCTTTAAATTTTATTTTAGAAGAGGATGAGTAGTAATATAGCTCAGTCTTAAAATAACAACCCTAGCTCAGTTTATTCTTAAATATTCTCAGATTTTTTTTTTTTTGAAGGGGGTTAGAAGGGAAGAAAGTATGGGACTTTGGAGGAGAAAGATTACTCTGTAAATGAAGCACATCTTTTCCAAAGAACAATTGGTTCAGTGCGACAATTAATAAAAATCAGCAGCTGATCACCTACATGAAAAAGTAGTTCCTAGACCTTAAGGCTTATTACCTGTGGGCATGAACTTCTAGAATCCAAAAGATATGCCTCTCCTAGTAATAAGCTCAGATTATGCAGTCATTATAAAAGGCCGATTTTGCATCAGGTACTGTGCAAGGTACTTAGTCCCTAAATGTTGTTCTGTTAGGAGTCGGTTTCAACTCATGGCAACCCGGTCATGTGTGCAGAGTAGAACTCTGTGGAGTTTTTAAGGCTGTGATCTTTTGGAAGCAGATCTCTTGGCCTGTCTTCTGAGGCACTTCTGGGTGGGTTCAAACTGCCAACGCTTCAGCTAGTAGTCAAGTGCTTAACCGATTGCTCCCCCACACCCCCAGCTAGGGACTCCCAGTCCCTAACTAGGTAGAGCTTATAATTAGAGGAGTAACAATAGTTAAACAGACATGTCAATATAATATGATAAATGCAGTGACTGGGAAGTATTAGATTTTAAGGGAAGATTTAGTAAGGGATCCCAATCAATTTTATAGGAGTAACAAATGTCTCTCCAATGACCCCCTTTGCTGTCAAGTCGATTCTGACTTATAGCGACCCTATAGGACAGAGTAGAACTGTCCTATAGGGTTTCCAAGGAGTGGCTGGTAGATTTGAACTGCCGACCTTTTGTTTAACAGCCTGAACTCTTAACCACTTCGCCAACAGGGCTCCTCTGGTACTTACGTCCAGATTTGAAGGATAAGTAGAAATTAGCTAGATAAAATGGGAAGAATGTCCCTGGTAAAAGGGACATCACTTGCAAAGACATGGAAGTTAGAGCCACAGAGCATATTCAGAGGCAGGGAAGGAGCTTCCCAAAATTGGAGCCATGTTTGTGAAAGGAATTGATGAAAGACCTGTCTGGAGAGAAGGGAGAGTTATTGGTCATTTCAGGAAGTCTGAACATTGTGTTTCCAATCCTCATCATTATTATGAAAGTCATGTTGTTCCTTCTTGCTGCTATTGAAACACACGCTTCGTCTACACCAAAACAAAAAGAAATCGTGTACATCGAAGCAGAGAATTAATACATAACATTCTTATCTCAAAAAATGGTTGTGCTGCCTCTGTGTTCATAGGAGAGCTGTGGAGTTAAGTGGAGGTTAAGCCAGTCACAGCCCTTACCCACATTCTCGAGACCAACGGCAAGCCTTATCAAATGGAGAACGTGGATGGCAAACAGCCAGCTGTAGGAGACATTTCTTATTTTCACTCTTGGAGAAAAGTAGTTCGGAAGGATTTTAAATCTTGACCTTGGACCTAAAGCGCCTGATCTCTGGCTCACTGAGATTTTGGTATATTTATTTTCACAAAATTTACTTGCTCTGAGCAGTTTTCTCTTTTTATATACTAGGATATAACCATGCAGTTTCAGCATTTTGAAATATTTTCCCTGTGTTCAGATTTCAAACTATGAGAATCACTGAAATGCATTAGCTATTAATGTGGGTAGAGTACAGGATAATAATAATAACCACCTATATTTATTTATTATTTAGCAAGCACATTGGTTTAAAATATTAAATGTTACCAGCATTGGTCTAATACATTACACATTAATATATGCAATCCTCTGAATTCTTTAGTAAGTCAATACATTTAATGTACTGTGTAGGTACTGCTACATTCCTCTTTTTAAAAAAGAGGGACCTGAGGCATAGAAGGGGTTGTTAACTCGCCCAAAGTACATGGCTAATATATAGAAGAGCCTAGATCCAAACCCAAGTGGGTCTGGTTCCAGAAACAGTTCTCTAAACCAATACAGCATCCTGCTTCAGAAGTGTCTGAGGAAAAAAGATATTTTGCTTTGGAGAGACATCTATAGTATGATCCTAAGGCTGGGATTTGATCAAGACACTGGGATAATGTGAAACATAGAGGGTAAGGAGTAGTACAGGAGTCTAGAAGTGCCTACTGGGGCACAGGCAACACAACTTATCAATATCCCATCTGTCCTCACCAAGGGGCCCTGGGGTCACCTACTTTTCTGGGTCACAGGCAGTACATGGACTGCCTTCCTAATGCTCTGATTTTCTTCCCCCCGTTTCTAGTATAAGTTATACTAAAACGGAAGATGAAACCAGAATTCAGATTCTAAGCATCAGGAAAGTTACCCCAGAGGATCTCAAGCGAAGCTATGTCTGTCACGCGAGAAATGCCATAGGGGAGGTGAACAGGACAGCGACCGTGAAACAGAAAGGTAATGGCTGCCCCCAGTAGGTGAGACTGTGGACTCCAGATGTGACACTGTGTGGTGAATAAGGAGAAAAGAGATGGGGAATGAGAGAGAGCTCCAGCATCTAGCAGAACATCTGACACATACCCATGAATCAACATGGAGTGAGAAATCTCACGAGAATGTTTCCATCTGTGTAAAGATACTCAAAATATTGTTTCTGATAGTTTTAATGCCTAATCGTAGCTAAAAAAATACATATGATTATGATAATGCAGCCTAATTTTGTACCAGATAATTAAGAAAGATGAACAATTAAAGAAAATATTCAAAGTTACCCTGGATGGACCCACATATTGTTGGTAAATTGTAAAGACCCATTTAAAACCATTGATGGCAGAGTTCAACAGTCATAAAAATGATCATACCATGTGACATAATACTTCTGGAATTTTTCCTGAACAAATAATTTAACAGTGAAAGAATTATGTACCCATTGATAGTCTTAGTAGCATTATCGATAGTAATGAAACATTATAATAGCAACCATCTAATTAGACACAAGTAATTAAGATATAAAATATTTATTCTCAGAAAAATATAATTTTAAATTATCATGTTAAAAACTATGTATCCATACTCAAGCAGGTTTATAATATGCCATTAGCCACAATTACTAAATTGAAAATAATTTAACGATGTTTATAAATGATATAAAAATTATTTAACAGGGTTAGGAAATGGAAACAAACATGGAAAAATGAAAACAGACAATTTGTTAAAATAGTGAATTTCTGGATAATTAAAAGACTAATTTCTATGTTGATACTACTATATTCTTCTAAGATAAATAAAAATTTAAAAACATTATTGTGTGCCCTTTGATCTTGAAAGACAGTGTCTAAAATTCTCTTTGGGTGATACCGAACACAGAACTCCACACAATTAAGCCCTTCAAGAATGTTTTTCAGTGTGGAGAAAAATAATAAAGACATAATCACACGTGCAGTGGGTCATTCAGAATCGTAGTGTCTAATAGAGCCTGTAACACATACGTGAACAATGAAATAAAAAGCTCATTCATAACTGTTACATTTTGCAATGAGATGTAATCTTTTTATTTTGTGAATTACGTATCTTTATTTCATTACACATCAACAGAATGCATAGACAATAGTAATTAAATTTTGATGTCTTTAATATTTTGCCATAACAATCACGTAAAATCATCTTAATGCAAATTTTTCTTTTTTGTCCTTATAAAGTTATTTCTGCCAAGGTAAGAGGATGGAAGTATTTTACTTAACAGTTGCTAGTTTGATTTATTATTGGGTTTTAAGAGTACTTCATTGTTCTAGATACAAGTCCACTATCAATGTGTGATTTGCAAATATTTGCTCCCATTCTGTGGTTTTATGTGACTTCCTTTTCACTTTTCTAAAAATACTTTAGTTTTATTTTGTTACTGTTGAGAATATACACAGCAGAACATACACCAATTCTATAATTTCTACGTGTACGATTCAGTGACATTGACTATATTCTTCAAATTGTGCAACCATTTTCACCCTCCATTTCCAAATTGTTCCTCCCCCATTAACCTGAATTCACTGCCCCCTAAGTTTCCTGTCTAATCTTTTGAGTTGCTGTTGTCAGTAGGATCCCATATAGACATGGGATTTGGTTTCTTCATTTGGAGGTTTAGGGTCACTGCTTCATGGGACATCTCCGTTAATTGGCTTAATATCGTGTTTAGTACTTTTGTTCTATCTCCTAGTTCATTGCATAGTGCCTGGGGTCTTCAAAGCTTGCAAGCAGTCCATCAGTCATCCAAGGTACAACAGTTGGTCTCCATTCACCTGGAGCAACAAAGGAAGAAGAGTTAGAAACAGGAGGAAGAAATGGAATATGTGGCTGATTACCTCTATGAACAACTACCGCCTTTGCCATGAGACCAGAAGACCTGGATTATGCCCGGCTACCATTCCTGAATGTTTTGATCGAAGATGCCAGAAGAGTCTTTGATCAAAACAAAGGGGAATCTTGATCAAAAGGGGGAAAATGGATGACACAATTTCAAATTCGTATGGAATCCATACTTCCTGGAGCCATGGAGGCTGGATGAACCCCTGAAACTATTGCCCTGAAATAATATTTAAACCTTAAACCAAAAATATCCCCTGAAGTCTTTAACCAAACTATAATTTAGTATAACCAGTAAAGAATGTCTGCCTTGAGCATTGTGCTCTTTTTTTTTTTTTTTTTTTTAATATTTTATTGTACTTCAGGTGAAGGCTTACAGAACAGATAGTTTCTCATGTAACAGTAACACGAGCATTGTGCTCTTTTAAGAAGTATTTATATGGGATCCAACTGAGACTTAATTGTTTTTTTAAAGCTGCTGAAAAAGAGGATTTCATCTCAATGCTTCATTTCATTTTGGAAAGTAGAGCAAAGACCTGAAGTGTATACGCTTCTTAAAAAGTAGTCCTGGATTGGTTCTGGGTCGTTAATTGCTCCTGCTCTCCAGAAGCTAGTATAAGGAGAAAAGGCTGAACTACAAGATGTAAGGCAGTGGTTCCCAAAGTCGGTTCCTCAGAACACTGCTGAGAACCCTGTTGTACTGCAGTTGATTACTGGGACTCTGGAGTCAGATGGCCTGTGATGGAATCCTGGGTTCTGTGCGTCCTAACTTTTCGACCTTGGAAAAGTCACTTAATCTCTCTGAGACTCAATTTCTGCATCTTTTAAGTAGGAAAAATAATACCACTACTTCATAAGATTGTTGTAAAGCACTGACATGTATACATATATATGTGTATATATGTATATATATATGAAGCCCTAGTCGTGCAGTGCTTAAGAGCTTGGCTGCTAACCAGAAGGTTGGCAGTTCGAATCCACCAGTCAATCCTTGGAAACCCTATGGGGGAGTTCTACTCTGTCCTGTAGGGCCGCTATGAGTTGGAATTGACTTGATGGCAACAGGTTTTGTATATATATATATAAAATGCTCAGTAAATGGTAGCTATTATTTCTGTAAGATTTTCATAGATGTTATTCAACAAAGAATCTTATGTTGAAATAAGTATCATTAAAATCTACATTAAACAAAACATATCAAGTTACTTTAGTTCAGGGTCTCCTAGAGTCTTTACTATGCTAACATTTGGTATGACTACTAGATGGAGTTGGAAAATAGTAGGCAGTATTTTTTCAAGTATGTTTGACACTAGAATTCCTGAAGTATGGAGCATCTTGTGGGACTTGTCCTCTGAGGCATATGCATTGGGGAGCACTTATAGGGGATGATGTTCGTTGATAACTTACTGTCAGATGGATGGAATCAAAACAATCGATTAAAATAATGTTTAATGTAGGAGTGATGTCCAAGTCTATCCGCTATACATACTTGAGTAGCTGCTCTTTCACAGAAGGCCCTGCTGTAAATGGTTTAGTATGCTTTCTTAGTCATCTAGTGCTGCTACAATAGAAATACCACAAGTGGATGGCTTTAACGAAGAGAAATTTATTCTCTCACGGTCTAGTAGGCTACAAGTCCAAATTCAGGGTGTCAGCTCCAGCGGAAGGCTTTTTCTTCTCTGTCAGCTCTGGAGGAAGGTCCTTGTCATCAGTCATCTTCTCTGGGTCTGGGAGCATCTCAGTGCAGGAACTTCAGGTCCAAAGGACACGCTCTGCTCTGGGCACTGCTTTCTTGGTGGTATGAGGTCCCCACGTCTCTGCTCGCTTCTTTCTTTTATATCTCAAAAGAGATTGGCTTAAGACACTACCTAATCTGGTGGACTTCATCAGTATAACTGCTGCTAATCCATTTTATTACATCATAGTGATAACACATAGGGAAATCACATCAGATGATAAAATGGTAGATAATCATACAACACTGGGAATCATGACCTAGCCAAGTTGACAGATATTTTTTGGGGACACAGTTCAATCCATGACATATGTACAGCATCAGGAATATGAAATGGCAAATGGACCCATGCAACCAGATGATTTATGTGGAAAGGTGATATATAATCCAGTTGTGTCTCTGTACGTCCAGTGGTACAGAAATGTTGTGGGTTTTTTTACTTAGCTTCTATGCCAGCTAGGCCAGCTAACGTGAAGTTCAGAGGTGATATCTGTGTTTGCATCCATATGTTAAATGTATGGGTCCTTCTCAGAATTCCTTGACGGTGCATTCTTTGTGCTTTATCAGGAAAGGATGACAGAAGGGACTAGGGCCTGAAATTAGAGGTCAGCCTTCTCATTAACAGCACAGTTTCATCCTCAGCTTTTTCTTAAATCTGAAAATGTCTTATATGATCTTAATTTTATTGTTCAACATTTTTTAAGAAAATTTTCAAATCAATGAAAGAATGGAAGCAATTATAAGCCATATACACCAACTAGATTCTACCATTAACATTTTGCTCTCTTTGCTTTATCACATAACCTATCCATATACCCACTCCTCTATCCACCCATCAGTTCCTCTTATTTTTGATGACTTTCAATGTAGTTACAGACACCAGTGAAGTTATCACCTAAATATTTGAGCACCTTATCATTAACTAGATATTAGTATTTATTTACCATTCTCTTGGTTTTTAGTAAGGTAAAATTTGCAGAGCAAAAAATTGAATAACTCTTGATAATTTTTTGAGAAATACATATGGTGATATATTTTTGTAATGTAAGGTTTTATCAAGATGTAGAATATTGCCATCACTACATTGAGTAACCTCATGCCCTCATCAGTCAATCCCTGCCAGCACCACTACCCCCTCGAAGTGACCACTCTTCTTATTTTCCTTTTTACCATAGGTTATTTTTCCTCTTCTAGAACTTGATATATATTGACCCATACAGAACATACTCTTGTATAAAGCTTCTTTCACTTACCACATATTCTTGATGTTCATCTATGTTGCTTGCATCAGTGGTCTGCTCCTTTCTTTTTTTCTTTTTTTTGGCCAAGTTGTATTTTTTTGTAAGAATCTATCACAATTTGTTTATTCATTCCCCTACTAGTGGACATTTGGGTTGTTTGCAGTTTTGGGCTTTTATGAATAAAGCTTCCGTGAACATTCTTATCCAAATCTCTTTGGGCACTCTTGATTTGACTTCTCAGATACTATGGAATGAAGGTGAACTGGTATCAATCAGTGAATGCTCTAAGGCCAGAAGCTGAAATCCAGAATGCACAAGTTTTAAAACACTATGATAGCAGCCAAGCAAAGTAGGTCTACAGGTCAGTTTAGTCATAGGTCTCTGGCTTACAGTCATTAAAATAAAACATTCTCTTTGCTTCAATTCAGAAAAATGATCATTACCACAGTTCCAAAAATTGGCAAGAAGTCCCAACAACTTAGCAAAGAATAGCCACGGGTTCTGTGGCAGAGAATGCTTGCAAGTCCGAGCATCTAGCATATGGCTGGTAACACAGTGTATAGCAAGGCCCCCCTCTCCCACCTGTAACAATGAAGCTGAAGGGAATAACTTACATTTCCAAGGAGAAACGAGACTGTAGAACAGGAACTCTAACCAGGGATAAAGGCTGAAGCTGACGTATTGACCTGATTTAACCAAAGATTATCTACAGATTTGGATCTTGGAGCCAGTTATTACTGTAGAAGTCAAAAAGGGATGGAGGAAATTCTGGTTCTAAGAGTAACAGCAAAGCAAGTGGTGAATTCTGCAAAATCCTCAGTCGGATTATCAGTGAGACTAGGGAAAGAAGCAATTTAGGAGTCCAGTTTTGTCAAATTGCATCGCTCCTTCCTGACTGGAGGATGCAAGTCATCTTTGCTCTAGGATTTTGTTGTTGTTGTTGTTAGGTGCCATCAAGTCAGTTCTGACTCATAGTGACCCTACGTACAACAGAACAAAACATTGCCTGGTCCTGCGCCATCCTCACAATCATTGCTATGCTTGAACCCATTGTTGCAGCCACTGTGTCAGTCCATCTCATTGAAGGTCTTCCTCTCGTTTGCTGACCCTGTACTTTACCAAGCATGATGTCCTTCTCCAAGGACTGATCTCTCCTGATAACGTGTCCAAAGTAAATAAGATGAAGTCTTGCCATCCTTGCTTCTAAGAAGCATTCTGGCTGTACTTCTTCCAAGACAGACTTATCCGTTCTTCTGGCAGTTCGTGGTATATTCAATATTCTTCGCCAACACCATAATTCAAAGGCATCTGGGATTGCATCAGAGTAAAATCTTTAAGCCAAAGTGCAAGAGATTCTAGCTTGGGCAGAAGGCAGCTGTGGGCTGAAGGTCACACCTTTCCTGCCAGCCAGCACTGCTTTCTTAAAAGAAAGCTTTGAGAGCACATCCTGCAGCCATTAGAAAGTCAGGCTTGTGAATTATTTTTTCTTAAGGGTCCAGTTAGTTAAGTAACATTAGGCATTTCTTTATATAATCTAGATGGTAGTACAAAATGCAATCTGTGACTATGACACGTGATTGGATGACACAAAAACAAAATTGAAAACCCCCATTAGAAATAAAATAGACAATTGTAAAATGAATGTGGAAGAGGGAAATTCATGAGGGTAATTGATCTACCGGTCATTAAGCAAGATCTCTCTCTCTCTGTCTCTATTGACATTAGAAAAATCCATTTCAGGTAAGTACAATCACTGATTTTTTTTCTTCCTATTACAAAATGTTCTCCCAGCGTGAGCCAAAATAACTGAGCAAATAATGAAGATGACAGTGGGAATTACCCAGTGTACTGCTAACATAACATGTGCTCAGAAATACCAAGGACACAAGCGATTTTCATGCCAGCTACCCAAATTGATCTTAGTAAATTCTCAACAACTGCACGGACGTAGCTGTGGTGTTTTATGATGGAGTTTTCCTGTTTTAAAGCACCGTTATTCATGGACAGAGTACAAGAGTACCTGATAATATTTCTGCACTGCTGAGTCCAGACTGTACCTGCAGCAGGCTTAATATTCTGGGGTTAGGATAATAAACGTAAAACTCTACGATTTGCCCTTTAATTATAGAACTTCAGGCTCTGCTCCAGGCTGCTTCGCGTTTTGCCTTTTGGAGAAACACCTGTTTTAAAAGAACTCTTTTTCACTAGTATAGGGTTGCTATGAGTCAGCATCGACTTGACTACATAAAACAAGAACAACATATGATCAGTAATTGAACTTTATGGTAGTGTTACCCAAAGCAGGTCTTGCTCGGTGTGGCTTTTCGTCAATAAAGACACCGAGGTGAGGCAGGAGGAAGAGCATTTATTGCAAGCACACAGGCAAGGAGCAGGGAGGTGTATACCTCAAATTAAGCTCCCCAAACAAAGGGAGGCAGAGCCTTTTATACCGTCTCTCACAAGGAAGTGCATACAAACATTATGGACTGCATAGGTTATCATGGCACGCAGGTGCAGTAAGACAAATTGCATGTTTTTTCTCTGGCATGTAGGCTTGAACCACATGCAGTGCTTCGAGGACAATGGACGGGAGCGGGCAGGTTCTGCTTGGTCCGCTTCCAATTGAGCCATGCCCATGGCCATCACCCAAGGTTTTGTTGGCTAATGGACAGGAGGAGCAGGTCTCGCTTGACAATGGCTAAGCAGCTGCTGGCTGCGCCCACTATCAGTAGTGTTACAAAAAGATCCCTGGATTTCGGAGTCAGGTCTCAATAACAGACCCAGCTTTGAATGAAATTCTTCCATTCCTGTCTCATCAAACACTTAACACCTACAGTTTGCCAGGTACTCAAAGAAGCCTCCCCACACCACCCTACCTAATATACCTCCGTGTCCCAGCCCCAGTCCCAGTCACCTCTGTCACATTACACTGGCTTCTTTCTTTTACAGCTCTGATAACGAGCTCAAATTATCTGACTTCTTTGTTTCTTTGCTTATTTACTTCTTTGAAAGAGAGTATTAGCACCAAGAGAGCATGTGGTTTATTCATTCTCTGTTTTGTCCACCATAATATCCCCAAGATCTTCAGCAGATAGTAGATGTTCAACAAGTAATTAGCAAGTCAGCAAATAAATAATTTAAGCCACCCCTGCTTCAGATCCAGTCCATAGTCTGTTCCTTACTCAGACTTTTAAGCTTTATTACCACAAGCTAATGAAGTAGCCAAATGGAGTTGTTAATAAATATGCCAGATGTATGAAATGTTATATTGCAAATGGCCAATGCTATACTAGGTATTTTAGAGTTAGAATGGATAAAGAAGACATAGTCTCCACTTGGAAGACTGTAAATGTATGATTTCGTGGGGGGGAAGAGAATAAGTGGAGAATCAGGCTTATAGGCAAATTACAGTATAATAGAAATGCTATAATAGAATTGTAGACAAAGGGAGGAGTGGGAATTTCCATGAGGCAGAGGTTAGGATGCAAGAAGGGTTTGTTCTAGGTAAGCTTATACAGAATGATAACTTTTCAGCATGGACTTGAAAACTAAGTCTCCAAAGAAAGAGAAAGCACTATTCCAGCCAGAAGTCACCACATGAGCAAAGGCATGAAGTTAAATCTTCCTGATGTTTTTGAGGAAAGAACAAGGAAATGAGGCTGGGAAACTGGTTGGCGGCTTGTTAACTACAGGGCTAATGAGTTAATATTTAGTCTTTCGGTAGTTAGGAATCACTTTATTCTATTTC